AGGTCTCCTTGGAAGTGCTGCTCAGCAACGGGCAGAAAGTTCTGGTCAATGTGCTAACTTCAGATCAGACTGAGGATGTCCTGGAGGTGAGATGCTTGTTCAGCATTACCCCTCCTCCCTCTGCACCCCAGGGTCCCTGGCTTGGGGGTGACTGGAACCAGCCAGTATGAAGAGTTGTACTTCTTATCCCTATCCCCAGGCTGTGGCCACAAAGCTGGATCTTCCAGATGACTTGATCGGATACTTTAGTCTCTTCCTAGTTCGAGAAAAAGAGGATGGAGGCTTTTCTTGTGAGTTTCTCTGGACTTTACCACTTCATTATGCTTCCAGTAGTGAGTTTGCCACTCCTTCCTCCTCTCCAGCATCCCCCCCAGAATGGAGCATTTCCTCAGGACACTCCTTTCTTGATTTCCCTTTGAGTCTCATGACATTTTCCTTTTTTTTTTTTTAAACCCATAGTTGTACGGAAGTTGCAAGAGTTTGAGCTGCCTTATGTGTCTGTTACCAGCCTTCGGAGTCAAGAGTATAAGATTGTTCTAAGGAAGAGGTCAGAGCTGGGCCTAGAGGAGGGGGAGGGTGCTAGATTGGGTTATTGGTCCCCATATTGAGACAGAATAATCTGGACAATGGGGTAGCACTGGATATTTCTACCAGGCCTCCCAAGCTTCTTCCCACTATACCACCTTTAGCCCCTGATAGTTCCAGATTGCTCCTGTTTTGTCCCTATTTTCCATTCTACCTCTTGCCTTACCCTGGCTTAGCCCCATTACCCCTTTCCACCCCTTGGCCTCACAGTTATTGGGACTCTGCCTATGATGACGATGTCATGGAGAACCGGGTTGGCTTGAACCTGCTTTATGCTCAGGTGAGCTTGGAGCTGCCTCAGAACCCTTCCCCTGAAAATGACTCTGGTGCCCTACTTTCCCAAGCACACTTTCATGTCTTTGTTCCCAGTTCATGGGGAAGTTCCTAGAATACTGTCAGGGCTCCTGGCACAACCTGTACTGTCCCTACTTTATAAGCTGCTGTCAAGGACTCACTGTAAAGAGGTCACTCAGTTGTGGGGCTAGGGGTCAGGATGGACAGAGGTAACTGTGGACACTTTTCTAGGATTGCTGACTGGGAGCCCCCAACCCCCATTCCTTGTCTCCACTATAGACGGTGTCAGATATTGAGCATGGGTGGATCTTGGTCACCAAGGAGCAGCACCGGCAGCTCAAATCTCTGCAAGAGAAGGTCTCCAAAAAGGAGGTGAGTCCTGCCTCTCTGCCTCCCACCAAGGGGTTGCATTGTCTGATCTGTTCTGCTTCCCCTCCTAACCCCATATGGTAACCATTTTTCAGTTCTTGCGGTTGGCCCAGACACTGCGGCACTACGGCTACTTGCGCTTCGATGCTTGTGTGGCTGACTTCCCAGAGAAGGACTGTCCTGTGGTGGTGAGCGCAGGCAACAGTGAGCTCAGCCTCCAGCTCCGCCTGCCTGGCCAGCAACTCCGTGAAGGCTCTTTCCGGGTCACCCGCATGCGATGCTGGCGGGTCACCTCCTCTGTGAGTTGGGGTAGGAGGGGTTGGCCTTTTGGGTTGGGGGCCTGGCAAGCCTTGAGCTTCAGGAATGGGCTGCAATGCGAGGCAGGCTGGAGAGAATGAACTCAGCCTAATTCCCCTTCCTCTCCCAGGTACCGTTGCCCAGTGGAGGCACGAGCAGCCCGGGCCGGGGCCGGGGTGAGGTGCGCCTGGAACTGGCTTTTGAATACCTCATGAGCAAGGACCGGCTACAGTGGGTCACCATTACCAGTCCCCAGGTGTGAGTCCACCCTCAGGCTTCCTCTGGGCCTTTTACATACCCAAGTCTAGGGCTTGCAGGATTCCACATTAGGGGAGCCCTTGTCTTAGCGGTGCTCTAGTGAGCCTGAGCTCTCTTCTTGCCCTCAGGCTATCATGATGAGTATCTGCTTGCAGTCCATGGTAGATGAACTGATGGTGAAGAAATCTGGCGGCAGTATGAGGAAGGTAAGCAGCAAGTGTGAACTAAGCAGCTGAATGGTTGTGCTCTCTGCCTTTTCTCCTAGGTGCAAGACTTCTCTTGAGATGGGGGAGAAGTAATTGAGATTCTAAAAGGGGAATGAGTAGCAAGTCTCTTTCTTCTTTTTTTTGGCGGCTGGCCAGTACAGGGATATGCACCTATGACGTTGGTATTATAAGGCTGTACTCTAACCAACTGAGCTAACCAGCCAGCCCTCTAAAGGGGGAGTGATTCCCACCATCATCAGTGCTTGTGTCTGTCCCCAGATGCTGCGCCGACGGGTGGGGGGCACCCTGAGACGCTCAGACAGCCAGCAAGCAGTGAAGTCCCCACCGCTGCTTGTAAGTATCACCCCCTGGTCCACACCCTGGCTCCCAGCCTTCCCTCACCTCCCCCAGTGAGTCTCTAACACCTCTGCCTCCTCTTCCCCAGGAGTCACCTGATACCAGCCGGGAGTCCATGGTCAAACTCTCAGTGAGTTACAGGGTTGGTGAGGTTGGTGTTTGTAGGGGATCTTGCAGACTCAAGCCCTCTGATCGCTACCCTGCCTTTGTTACAGAGTAAACTGAGTGCTGTGAGCTTGCGGGGGATTGGCAGTCCCAGCACAGATGCCAGTGCCAGTGATGTCCATGGCAATTTCGCCTTCGAGGGCATTGGAGATGAGGATCTATAATCTCCACTGCTTGGATGTCTGCCCTCTCTATCCCAGAGGAATTTACAGAAATTTGCCCTGTGCCTGTATCCCCCAAGCTGGGGGGGTCTTTTCCTTTCCCCATCCTCCTTTCCCCTTTTCTCCTCTTGGCCAGGGGCCTCCTAACCCACCTTCCCTTCCCCACTGGGCTGGCTGCACAAAGGATTGCCCCCTGTCTTTTCAGAGCTGGCCCTTGATGCCAAATTAGCATTTAGTATTTTGCACAAAGTCCAAGGGACCATGGCTACCTGCCTTGGGGAGGAACCACAGCTCCCCATGGGCTGCTTCTGGCCTCTCAGGGCCATGGGCCAAGGGGATGGGCAGAGGTCTGTGTATGGTCTGGCCCAGCTCCCCATCATTAAACTCAGCCTGATTGCTGCTTACCTCTGGTTCCCTCTCAGTGCCCCTGCTTCCCCCATCACAGCATGGACTACTATGCGAAGGCTGAGGCCAAACTGTGCTTGCCACTGCCAATTCAGCATAGACATGGCTTTGTTAGTGTTTCCTTTATTATAAAGCACTGAAATAAGTTAAATAAACAGGTGGGAGGCTGGGCAGTCCCCCAGCCAGTTTGTCCACAGCCCCTGGAAGCAGTGGAGGTGAATACAGAGCCCTTCTCACTGTGCTCATGAAGTGCATCAGTCAAGGCAAGGCCCCTGGTCCATATGGGCCCCTGCCCATGTGGTTTGGGCTGATCCATATGGTACCTAGATTAGTCTGTGTGGAGCCCCTGGCCAGCGGGGGAGGAAGAAGGTGGCTTCTGGTCCGTCTGTATAAAATATACAGGAGGGTTGGGGCTAATCCATAGGGCCCAGGGGAAGAAGAACCTAGTTCAGGGTGAGTCTGTATGGAGAGCCCGACTACCAGCAGCACCCAGGGCTGTCGGACCCCGAGAGCTCAAAACAGAGGGTGGACTATGAGGTGGGGCCCAGCCCTCAGAGGCAGAGAGGCCAGTCCCTCCTGCCCCACCGTGGCCATGCACCTTCTGGTGGCGCTTGTAGTTGTCCCAGTGGCCTGTGGTGTAGGCGCAGGTAGCACAACGGAAAGGCTTCTCGCCTGTGTGCCGCAGCATGTGGCGTTTGAGGTTCATGCTCTGGTTGCAGCTGTAGTTGCAAAGGCTGCACCGAAAAGGTTTGTCACCAGAATGGATGCGACCGTGACGCTTGAGGTTAGCCAAGTTGCCACAGGCATAGGGGCAGAGGGGGCACTTGTAGGGCTTCTCTCCTGTGTGGACGCGCTGGTGCCGTTTCAGGTTATCCAGATGAGCAGAGGCATAAGGACAGCGGGCACAGCGGAAGGGCTTCTCACCACTGTGTGTCTTCATGTGCCGGGCCAGGTGGTTGGGATAGTGAGTGGCAAAAGGGCAGAGGCTACAGGCAAAGCCTTTGTCACTGGGACCCTGGGGCCCCCCACTGGCACCCCCTCCAGCCTCTCCTCGCATGCAGCGCCCACACATGGCAGCTCCCAGCCGACTGCCCTCACCCTCCTCCAGCTCTTGTCCACAGCCCCGGCAAGTCCAAGGGAACAGCAGCTCTGGCAGTGGTTCTGATCCAGTCCCACACAGGCCCTCCCCTTCACCCCGCAGCTGCCCACAGTCTGGCAGGAAACTGGCACCACCTGGTGGCACATGGAGGCTCAAATCTGGAAGGAGCAGAGCATCTGTGGGGACAAGAAGACCTGGGCTGTGAATCTAAGTATCCCCAGAGCCAACCACCCATGTCCCAGGATCTTTGGTCCCTGGCTTTTTACCTTCAGATCGCTGAGGCACTGCCCCCTCCTGCTCTGTGGGACTGGGAGGCCGGGTTGGTCGTGGAGCACAGCAGCGGAAGCCACAGGTCGGGCATGGAGGAGTGGGGGGCCCCGTGTGGGTACGCTGATGCCGCCTCAGGTTGCCCAGGCTGCTGCAGGCAAAGGGGCAGTGGGGACAGCGGTAGGGCTTCTCGCCAGTGTGGGTGCGAGTATGTCGTGTCAGGTTGACGAGCTGGGCTGAGGCGTAGGGGCAGCGGCCACAGCGGAACGGCTTCTCCCCGCTGTGTGTCTGCATGTGCCGCTTCAGGTGGCTCGAGTAGTGGGACACGAAGGCGCAGAGGCGGCATGAGTACAGTAGCCGTGGGGGCAGCGGGGGCCCCCCACCCGGCCCTCCTGCCCCACAGCATGGCCCCTCACCTGTCAGCCCCCCACACAGCTGGCAGGCTGGGCCTGGCCTCTCACCCCTGGCCTCCCCTGGCCCCCTTGCTGGCTCTTCAACTTCACTCTCAGCACTTAGTGCCCGGCCGCCCCCAGACTCATCGTCGCTCAGTCCATAGGGAAGCCCAGGCCTGGCCCCCAGAGAGTCTCCTGGTGAGGCAGACATGAGAAGAGACATCAGCATGAGGTAGGACCAGGCTCCAAACTCTGCCTTTTTCACTTATGGTCTCCCTACTTGCTTGGCCATGCCTTTCTCTTAGCTTTGGTGATCCCTGTAATTCCCTCCTAGGGATCGAGGCCTCCCCTCCAGTGACTCCAGAAAACTCAACATGAATTGTCTACCTCAAAGCCTGGACTAACCCAGTGATGGTAGAGTTGAGCTGTACTTAGTTCCACTGAATGGAAAAGGATCAAGGGCTCACAATGGACCACAGATTGAAATGAATCAATAATGTTATTCTTGGGATAAGAAAGTAAAAATACAAAAGGCAGAGAGGCCTGAGACCTTTTTCTATGGTTTGTATTAGTAAGACCCCTTTTAGTATGGAGCTGATTATAAAATAAAACCTGTCTCAAGAGTGAGACAGAATTTGGAGGGAAGTGGAAACAATGAGAGTAATACGTGTAGTACCATTTGGATGCCCAAAGGATGAATCCTTTTACATGGATTCCCTCAATGACTTTCAAAAACATCCTTCATAAGTGCCATAAGTGGGCAAGTAGTGCAGCAAATTAGGGCAGGGTGATGTTAAGAGCACAGGGAAGAGGAATGTGGAAGGATACTTAAGGGCAAAGACTAAAACCTCTCAATACAAAAGGAGCTTGTGATGCAGGTGAAAGGGAGTTAGATTAAACATAAGTACTAGCTTGAATGATTTACAGAGATGTTGCTTCCCTGAACGTCTTAAACACACATAAGGAATAGGCTAGGGAAGGGGGGCATGGGCACCTACTTTTAACCAATTGCTCCATGTGATTCACTCACCCTCCCATTCATACCACCTTTGGACCAGGCCCCAAAACTTCACCTAAAAGGGATGAAGCTGACTAGACCATTAAGCAAATGAAGTAATCTAGCTCAAATTTAAACTAAACCAGCCCTACGTTGTGGCAGGAAATGGTGCTTTGCTCACTAACACTAAACCTTAAGCTGCTTCCTGAAGGACTGGGGCCCCCAGCAGTCACTAATCCTTAACCAAGTCCCCAAGACCCACCTTCAGAGTCTCTCTCGAAGCCCATGAGCTGATCACTGTTGCCGTCACCTTCCTCCTCTTCCTCTTCCTCCTCAAACTCCAGATCTTGGCCTAGTAGCAAATCACTCTCCAATACCAGGGCTCCCGGTCCTTCGTCGAGAGAGTCCTCAGTATCCACTGAAGAGGGGAGAGGGCTTGTGGATTCTCCCTCCGGAGCTGTGCCCATCATCCGCACCCAGCCCTCGTGGACCGCACTTCCCGTACTCATTGACCCTCTCGGGTTTCCTTAGTACCTCGGTGGGAAGCTGAGTCCAAATCGTCCACCCCATCCCTCAGGAGTCCCCCTCCACCCTGACCTGAACCCACTCCACTGACCCCACCCCCTCCTCTCCCCTCAAGGCCCCTGACCCCTGACCTTTGACCCCCTCGCATTTCACGGGCTGCGGGTGGCTTTGCTTCCTTCGGGGCATCGTGACCGGCTCCAGCCCGACGCGCCTCCGGCCTCTGGCCGCCCGGCCCCGCCCCTCCCGACTCGGCCCACCCGCCTGTCCTTCCTCTCAGGGCCTGCGGGTCGCCCCCATGCAGCGGCGCGGGCCCTGGGCTGCCCCCGGCCGTGGCCCTGGCGCCCAGCTCAGGTCGCTCCCGCCGCCGCCGCCGCTTCCATTCATGGAGCCCCCTACCCCCCCGCGGAGACCAGCTGGTACCTCCGTACTCGCTTCCGCTTCCGCCGCCGCGGAGCCGCACGGGACGCGTAGTCCGGCGCAGCAGCAGCGGCGACGACAGCGCCAGCAGCGTGACCAGGAAGTGATTGTGACGGAGGCCGCGGGCAAACAAATCAGCGGCTAGACCGAGACCGGGCCGGCGAGACGGCGAAGAGAAGCCCTGCCCGGGGCCCGCCCGCCCGGTTCTGGCCCCTCCCTGGAGGAACTAGGAACTCGTTCGACTCCAGGTGGGGCGAGGATGGGCCGCGACGTCAGGCTGGCCTGCCAGCAGCAGGAGAGATACAATGAGCTGGTCGCTGTTATCGTCACACACGCACAGGACACACGGACGGACACACACACACGTGGAGGGGCTGGCTAGATGCTACCGCTGGGATCAAGTCGGGGGCCACAGCAGCAGAGAAAAAAGGACACCATGGGCACGATCAGGTTTTGGCCTTTAGTCTGAAAAAGTGTTGATTGAAAGTGTACAACAGAGAGCGGGTGCAAGCGGCTGGGGGCCATGGAGCCGCCGATAAAAAAGAATGTCCTTAAATAAAGTGTTCACAGAGTAAAAACCAGAACCGCCAGTCCTTCCCTCCAACAGAACAGAGCACAGGCACAGAACCGGTGATGAGCCCAAAGGAGCAAGGAGAAGGCTAGGGAGGACAGCAGAGGCTCCCAGGCTGCTGTATGGAGGGAGAGCCCTCTTTGGAATGGGCTGAGTAAAGACACCCAGTTCCCCCTGCACACCTCATACCCACTGCTAAGGCTAAAGGAAAAAGACAAAACTCAGTCTCAGGTCCGGAGGGCTCAGAAAACAGTCTAGGTGGGCAGGGGTGTGGATGACTGCTAGTCCCGCTTGGGCTTCTTCTTGTCACTGCTGCCATTTTCTTCAGCCCCCTCAGTAGAAAGCACCTCCTCCAGTTTCCGCTTGCCACTCTCTGGCTGGGGTTCTCCTGTGTTTCGGGGCTTGAAGCAAATGATGATGCAGGTCATGTTGTCACACCCTGTACCATCCCCAGAAGTGTCTGGTGCCAGGCACTGATCCAGCAACTACAAAAGGGATGGGGTAGCTCAGCCACACCTTCCTGGGAACCTAGAGTCCCGCAAGAGGGTTGGCCCTTCCAAGAGGTCAAAGAAGTGGAATGGGCAACATGTATCACAAAACAGCCCACTTGCTAGGCCATGAGGCATAAGGTTAAGTCAGGGAAATGAAGGAAGATGGAAGTTTTTAGTCATGGTTTGGCATCTGTCAGTAATTAATAGTATTCTCAGGCTCTGGACTTAGCTCGGGTGAAAAGTGAAAAGAGAAATCCTTGGCTGTGCACACACCAGACACCCTCTCTTCTCCACCCTGGGACTCACCTCTTCCACGATGGATGATAATAACCGAAGCTCCCCATTTTCATCACGCTGGCTGATCTTTGATTGAATAAAGTCTACAACTTCCTGACTGCTCATCACATTCCTGGGGTCAGAAACAACAGTCAGAATCTTTAGTCTCACACCAAGGCAGAGTAGAGGAGCGTGAATAGAGGTTGTGGGCCAGGCCAATGTAAGCACCTACAGAAATTCTCCTCAGTTCTGCCTTAGGCTTAGTGGTCTTGACTCATCAAGAAGCCTGCTTAGGCTCTAATCCTAGAGCAACTCTAAGCCCTACAAGAGAAGTAATGCTGCAGAAAGAGGACTTTAGGGTGTTCTGCCAGTGCTTGCTTACCAAATGCCATCACAGGCAATGACCATGAATTCGTGGTCATCAGTGAGAGTCAGCACCTTGATGTCAGGAAGAGCTGAAATCATCTGTTCCTCAGGTGGCAGATTCTTGTTTCTCTTGTAGAAGTGGTCTCCTGAAGTAAAGGAATAGTTGGTTGACAAGTGGTTTGAAACTTCCCACAGATTAATGTTTGAGGCAATTCAAACCTTGCCATTCATTTCCCTTCTCTACAAAGTTCCATAATCTAGTGGAATGGAGAACTGAGTTCTAGTTTTTCTAGTTTCAGCCCTGTCAACAGGTTGCTGAACCTTACGAAAGTCACTCACCTGTTTTTTTCATCATTGAAAAGGTACTGAAGATAATGATACCTATCTTAGCTATTTTACAGAGATGTTAAGGACTTAGATAGTAGATATAAAAGTATATTGAATGGTACAAGGGCTATGAAGATTCAAGTTTGCTATCAGGTGGTCTGGGACAGAAAGCAAGACCCCAGAAGTCCTTCCCTTAAATTTCTTGGCCCTTACCAATGGCTCTGGAAAGGTTGAGTCCCCCGTTGACTCGCCCATCCATGGTGACCTTGCCACCAGCATTCTTGATGCGTGCTAGCTCCACTTCATCTTCTGGTTTGTGGTCATAGGACATGTCTAAAGCTTTGCCAGCCTCAGACACCACACAACGAGAGTCTCCTGCATTGGCTACAATCAACTGCTTTCCTCGTATCAGAGCCACCACTGCTGTTGTACCACTGTCAGAGCCAGGCTTAAAAAGAAGAAAGGTAGCATTCATGGGAGCTTCTGAACATGAGTTCCCTGTTGGTGCACCCCTCACCATTCACTTATGCTTTCCCCTCTCACTGGGACCCCCAAGAGAGCTTTAACAGGAGGAGCACAAATGTCATCTTTCCAGACAAAAGCATGCTCCCTCCCTTTTTTTTAGATAATTCTACTCAAAAGACTTACCACCTAGTTCCCCTCACAAAATAAATCCCCCATGACCACAGCTTTAGTACTAAAATATTAAGAGGATCCCCTGTCCCAGAATCAAAATCAGGGGATCCACACCTGCCTCCTGGCTCTTCCAGACTCACTGCTTCCCTTCCCCACACACCTCTTCTTTTCCTTCCATCCCAGGCACCATCATCTCTTCTTCTTCTTCTTCTTCATCATCTTCATCCTCTTCAGCCTCCTCAGTGTCATCCTCATCTTCCTCATTCTCTGCCTCCTCACTGCTGTAGCCATCCTCTTCCTCACTGCATTCCTGCCAGAGGGAGGATCCCAGGCTGTGAGACTAGGATGCCCCCCTGCCCCCCTCCCCCCAACTCATACTCAGAACCCAGAGGCCCTGACTGAACATAGGTCCTTAAAACACTGAAAGATAACAACTATATGATCATGAAAATCTGGGGGAGAGGAGAGGGCCAGGATGAGTATAACTGACATCCTAAACTGGATTCAGCAGTCACTAGCCAGAAGCCCTGGGGAAGGCCAGGGCTGCCAGCCAAAGTTCTTTCCAGGAAATGTGGCCAGAAAATAGTGTCCAGAGAATGAAACACCCATATATCTAAGGTAACATCAACTACCTTCTTGTTCTCCCTCTAGGAGACAGACTCTGAAAGGCCAGAACTAGACCTATTTGTTATAGTACTGACAAAGGAAGAGGTAAGAGGGCTAATGGTACCTGTGATGATGGAGATAAAGAATTCAAGAAGGCTAAGGCATAGAATACAGTGGGTCTTGGGGGATGATGTCAAAATTGGAGAAGGAAAAGAAAGCTGAAAGCTACTGATGGCAACCACACAGCCCTTCTCTGCAACTTCGGCATCTGCCTGCCTCACAGGCCCTTACCTCACTGTCTTCCTCTTCCTCCTCCGCCTCATCTGACTCATCCTCACTGTCCTCAAAGAACTTGGACTTAGCAACTCGAGGCAGCTTGTCGGAGGCTGAAGAGCAGGAAGGCCCAGCCTCACCTGTGGGAGTGCCAGGCTCACCAACTT